CGCTTATTCTTTTTTGGTGGAAGGCCACACCTTGGTGGAGATATGTTGGGGGAATATCGTCGTCGGGATCTAAGAGGAGGAGATCTTGACTGCTTCTGTTCCCAGGCCCTCATCTTTTTGTTCTGTTGCAAGATAAAGGCGTTAGTTTAGTTGATGGCAGCGAGCAGTGTTGCGATGGTCGAATCGGCTCTCTGAGGGATAGGAACTGGTTGTAGGATCTCTAGAAGTTCCCCAACGAGGATCTTGGGACGATGTCCATCCAAGAAATAATGTTCGTCGCGTTGGGTGTCGAAGGAGTCTGGAGATGCAATTCGACCGTCGCGGAGGTCGAAGTTATCCTCGAGATGAGGATGTCCCTGACCTCCATCATTCTTGTGCACCGGGGAAAGTGGAATCTTTTCGAGCTGGAGGAGATCATCATGGTTGGCCATGATTGGTGAATGGAATCTTGAATATCTGCTTTGATCTTTGAGTTCCAGGGAAAGAAAGATGGGGAGAGCATGTTTCCCACAGACAGTACCACTGATCTTACTGGTTGATCAAAACCTGCAAGGTGGTCGGACGATGATCTTCAGTCGGGCTATGATATTAAGGAGGGAAAAAGAGGGTTGTACCTGCAAGGGACTCCGATGATCAAGTAAGTGTGGGAGAAAATAGATACAAGCAAAGTATTAGGGTATTAATGGTGAATAATGAATATTCGATACTTGGCTCTCACAAGTGTGAGGGTTTATATAATTCCCCTGGTGCATGGCCATTGGTTCCTATTTTTGGGCATGGATATGCGGGTCTGCAAAAATAGATAAATGCTAGGACTTGGTCATACCGGGTAGGTGTGCCCGTAACTAGCCGTTAGATCCGAGGTGGAGGTAGGTTACGGGCAGTGATCTGGTCGGTTCCTAGTTGTCTGTGCGACTCAAGGTCGGGCAGACTGAGAGATGCTCATCAATCATCATAGGTCAGCGTCAGTCCAGGAGGGCAAAGGATCGATGTTGCCCGATGGAGAGCGGGGGAGATTTGGGGCATCGGCATATGGGTCGTATCGATGGAAGGGGTTAGACTAGGCCCACTACGGCTGTTGAGCCAATCCAGAACACTTCCAAAATATAACTCTCAAACACCTAAAAACCTCCAAAATCTCCACTTTTAAAACTCATTCAAGTTGGTGTACTCATTTGCACTTGTTACAACTCACTTCAACTATCAATTTCATCACATTTCAACAACTATAAAATCTTTAAATTTGAGTAAGTTCTCCAATCCATTTTAATCTTTGCATTTTTATTTTAAGTCGTTTAGATTATGTTCAAACCGTAAAAAGCTCATTTTTATGTGTAAAAATTGGGTTTTGGTGTAATAATGGTGCTTTTAGGTTGAAGGTTTGGCAATGGAAGTCGCAGGTTTCTTCGGAGATACATCTCTAAAAACCCCTATGAGGAGTTTCGGAGATGCATCTCTGAAAATAGGTCTGAGTTTTTTTCTCAAACATTATTCGTTCGCTTTCATTTGATTAACGATTATTTGTTTTTCCAGAATAATGGCAGAGAACTTCAACATATTGACACTTGGTAGGCCTAGCCAAACTGTATCCACTCGACGAGAGAGAGATGAGCACACTGTGAGTCATCGAGGGCGCGGTCGGGTACCGCGGGTGGAAGTGGGGGGAACTTTAACTTCTGCTATGAGGAGTCAAATTTCACGTGCGTCCTCGTCTAGGGATTACGAGGAGGAGGAATCTGAGCGGGTTAAGGTTCCAGAACCCGAAATGGAGTTTATTTCGGAACCCGGGGAGGAGGTTACCCGGGTTTTGCTGGAGGGCCGTCTGACACCTCCATCTTGATCTATTACATCGATCATGTCGCTCGATATGTTTTGAAGGGACGTGTATATTAATTTTTGTTACAGTTTTCATTTTAATGATTTACATACTAGTGTGTTAAAATTGATATTAATCATTTATCTTTACATGAATGACAACCACTAAAGTGCGTGAATCACGCGCGAAAGATATCTGAGCTGCATCACCCTGATGAGGATTGGTTCAGAGAAGCCATTTTTGCCTCTGGACTTGTCGGCCTTTGTTGTTCTGATTACAGCACCATCAGCCACGGCATGCACGGGGCATTTGTAGAGAGGTGGCACAAGGAGACATCCTCTTTCTACTTTCCTGTTAGGGAGATGACGATCACACTTGATGACGTCGCCTTCCTGCTACACCTTCATATCAGAGGGAGGTTACCTAACCAATCCCATATCGATCGTAATGATGCGATTGAATGAATGGTCGGCTATCTGGGAGCTGATCTAGAAGAGGCATTTAAGCAGTGTTCCTCCACCAATGGGGCTCATGCCAATTTCTTTTTCCTTAATCTGCTATATCACCAACACCTCTCTATGACAATTGATTTCCAGTCAGAGGAAGATGACTTCTTTGTTCTTTATCATCGTCAGTGTGCTCTAAAGTGTTACTTCATGTTCTTGGTTGGCACGTCCATTTTTATGGACAAAAGAGCCAACTACGTGGATGTAGCATACCTCAAGTACTTCATAGATTTGGATAGGGTGATGGATTGGAACTGGGGGTCGTCTATTTGATATACTTGTACCAAAAGCTGAATAAAGCCTCTAACTGGAGGACGCGACAACTGAGTGGCTTTGCTACACTGCTAACGATAATTATCATCCAATGGATGCCGTTTGAGGGTCACCGGGAGATTATCCAGTTTGACCCCATCTCATTGTACTGGCTGACATGTGGGACTATTACTATGGTCAAGTATCTTCTAGAGCGATGCATGCGGCAGTTTGGCTATGTGCAGACCATACTCAGATCTTCCTTTCAGGCTACTCCTGACACCATTGTCCTTCGGGAGCTCGATGGCATATTTCAGAACTGAGAGCATCATTTGGTTTCAGAGGAGTGTCCGATGATGCAGTCATCCAGCAGTTGGCATTGTATTGAGGGATACACGACATGATTCTACATGGTGTCACATCTTGTCATGACACTGGATGCTCCTGAACGTCCTAGGCCAGCTCACGAGGAGATCTTGGAGAATCAACAGACCGAGAATGATCATGTCATTGATCTCTTTCCTATCTGTCACCAGATACAGATGATTGGGCAGGAGGCTTTAGACATATGTATCATTGACCGGGGCGGTCCTGAGGCGGTGACCATTGTAGAGAAAATGGTTAGGGAGACAGAGAGAATGACAGGATACAATACACAGAGGAGGGGCCAGAGAGTGAGGATCAGACATACTCAATAGCCTATGCTTTTTTTATTTCAGAATAATTTATGAATAATTATTGTATTTTTTATATTATAAACAATTTATTGTGTCTTTTATAATTATTTATGTCTTATCATTTTTTATTTGTATTTTTATTATCATTTTCATCTAATTATTTATCAACCTATTGTTGATTTAAAAAAAGATCATTGTCCAGGGTTTCGAAGAAGCATCTCCGAAAGCACCAACTCAAAGTGTTTTGGAGATGCATCTTCGAAAATATCACTGCATATTTAAATATAATATTCAAGTCTAAACAAATTATTTTTAGAGATGCATCTTCGAAATACCTTGACTTATGATGTGTTCAGAGATACATCTCTGAAAAATATTTTCAAATTTTTAGAAAATTTTCTCCACTCATAAGAGTTGTACAAAAATTCCCATATTCAAAATAAGCTCTACAAGATTTCAAACTAATGGAGAAAAATAAAGACAAAATGAGAGATACAATCTGTTAAACCAAGAATCTTTGCAAAATAAGTGCATTGTTATAACATAATCGAACATACACTTATTCATTTAATAATTATAGAGATAATAAGACAAGGTCACATACTCCATGCACTAATTCCAACTCAAATATCTATCTCATATTATTTACATAATTATTCATTACTGAAAAACTCAATATTTTTAAATTATCTAAAATAAAACTAAATAAACCTAGTAAGATCACACACACAAAATTGATTAAAGTGCATATTTATAATTTAACAAAATCAGCTTAAAGTTAACACCATTGGAAAACATAAATTCTCAAACAATTTGCATGAACATAAATCATACAATAAATAAATTATTGAAAAAAATAATAACTCATCAAATAATTTATTATGTTGAGAATAATTATTTTATCACTACCACACTGGATCGATTAGAAATAATAAAATACACATTTTTCTAACGTAAAATACCTTTTACTCCGATAGTCATTAATTTGAACATCAGACCACTCCTCTAATACCTAATCGCGCTTAAAACATTTCACAAACTTTCTTGAAAATCACTTAGATTTGATTACTCTAACTCTCACCTATATTTTCATCTATACGTGAGGGACTCTTATCTCCCTAAAGATCAAATTATAAAATTAATCCAAAGATTAGTCTAATATTTGTTATAAATAAACAAGAAAAAATAGCAAGAAGTCTTAGAGAAAATGTATCAAGACTTGTGAATTCAAAATTTGTGGATGGCTAATAACATAATAAAACCAACCCTGGCGTGTAATAAAGAAGCAACACCGAATTTAATATTTGATTTGGTCAAGAATTGTGTCTAAAGTGGAATTAAGTCAAAAATGACCTTTCAAATAGAGAAACAAAAGTAGACATAACCACTAGCATGTGCTGCAGAGATGAGGGGACCATATAGAAAACGGATTAAGTACGTATTTTTGTGGGGCTGAAACAAACAGCACAACCAACCAACCACTGAAAGAAAAGGAAGAAACATAGTTGCATTTCATCATACTGTTTTCATGCTCCAAACCGTGTTCACACCCTTTTTTCACATGTTGCTCCTTGTCTAAATCAGACCAAATTATTACAACCAGTACGTATAACTTATGTATAGTACCTTTTCACCTTCTCCCATTTATATACTAATAATATTCACGTGAAAATGTTTGTTAATATTCACTAAATTCTACATGTTAATGTTAGATACTAAACAATCAAACTAATTTTTCAATATTTTCAATCAATCTGAAACAACAGAGATAGTAACACTGGAAACACTTTCAATCTCATTGTTACTACCACCCTCACAAATAAGCAATGCTCTCTCTAAATTCGCCACAATATCAGCCATCGTTGGTCTATCTTTCCCTTCCAGATTCACACAATGCACGGCTGTATATGCCATCAACTCGACCGCCTCCGATTCGTTACTCTCCGCCGGTGATCCAACTCTTGAGTCCAAAATTTTCAACAATTCACCGGCCAAAATAACAGGCACTGCAAAATCAACTAGACTCAACGGATTTCCTCTGTCTTCGCCGTTTCTAAATATAGCTCTTTTTCCTGTTAATAATTCTAGTAATACAACTCCGAGTCCATACACGTCACTTTTTGCTGTTAATAAATTCAAACCATAGTACTCGGGATCGATATAACCAACCGTTCCTACTGTTTTTGTTGGTTTGTAATCGATATCAGCTTCTGGACTCATCAATGACAATCCGAAATCAGATACTCGCCCTGTCCAAGTCGAGTCAAGAAGAATATTCGAAGACTTAATATCTCTATGAATTATTGAAGGAACTGCATAGTTATGTAGATACTCTATTCCTCTTGAAGCATCCAAAGCAATTTTGATCCTCATTTTCCATGAATTCAACAAACTGCTACTTTTTTCCACATTGTTCTTATCATGCAAATGACTATGCAACGAACCATTCTTCATGTACTCGTAAACCAAAAGCCTCTCGTCTTTCTCCTCGCAATAACCTACTAGTCTAACCAAGTGTTTGTGGTGTAACCGCGACAAAAAGGATAACTCTGACTCAAATGCACTCTCTTTCTCTTGAAATTTTTTAAACTTTGAACCTGTTTCACCTCTTTTAATAGCTACCTCGCTACCATCTGTTAGTTTTCCTCTATACACAATACCAAAGCTTCCAGCACCGATTTTGTTCTGGAATGAGAAACCGTCTGTAGCTGCTATAAGCTCGGAGAGAGTAAACTCTTCTGCCCTTTCTTGATGCTTTGTTGTCGAAGGTCCACTCCTCTGTCGCCTCATTATTCTTGAACCTTGACGCATAATGGCCGATTTAATCGAAGATGTGCTGGTATTTGAACTGTTGCTACTACCTCTTGTGATTGTTGGTTGCACTGAATTGTGAACTTTCTTTTTATCAAAACAAACACCTTTCCATAAGCAATAAACTATGGAGCATATACCAATAAAACTACCAACTGATCCAACAATTGCGAATGCCAATAAGCCTCTTGTCAATGTCTTGGATCGAGACGACCCAGGAGGAGACACTGGAGGTGGAAGCTGAACTGGCGGAGGCGGCGGATTTGTTATTTGAGAAATACATACATTTGGTTTGCAAATATGACGACTTGTGCTAGAACACAATGATTGCGAATCAGGATAAATCCCACACTCACTACAAGAAGATTGAACACAAGGCCCGGGAAGAATCCGCGACAAAGAAACAACAGATTCAGAACCATTTGATCCATTAGACCAACCAGGTCCCCAACAAATAACAGAAAAATTGCTTGTTGTCAATCCACAAGTAAAATTAGAAGCAGAAACAATCAACTCAAAAGAAAGCCTTTCAACAAAATCCACCGAAAATCGACCCTTTCCACCCCAACAAACAACAAAACCACTCAATCTTCTAATAGCACAACCATGTTCATCTCCAAGTGCCAATTCACCATACTCAAAAGCACCACCTTGAGGAACATCAAGTTCTCCAGAACTGTTACTTCCTTTACAAACCAAAAAACCAGTTGAATTCAAACCACAAACATGCGAACCACCAGCCACAATACTCAACATAGACATGTTCCCAAACTCATTCTGCAACCCTTCCGCAACACCTTTCTCTCCCCAACACCGAACTTGTGAATTATTTTTCAAAATCCCACAAGAGAATCTCGACCCAGATGAAATTGAACCAAATCGATCCGACCCAGATAGTTCAAACCGGTCGCTGGTTCTCCAGCATCGAACCGTCCCAACACCGACCACCGTGGCACAAACCTGGGAATCTCCGACAGCGAGATTCTCTAACAAAACAGAGTCGTTAAAGTAAAGTCTTTTACTTTGAAAGGAAGATGAACTATCCCAACAATGTAAACTGTAGTTACCGGACCTGAGACCACAGAAGTAGCTTTTCCCGCCGGAGATTGAAGAAAAGGAGACGTTGGGAGAGACGGGGAGGGAGGAGACTTGTCCTTGACGGTAACACTGAATGTTTTGTATTGACTGGCCCGATACGATGCCGCAGACGGTGGCAGGTGAGTCGGTGACGGCGAGGGTAGTGCCGGAGCCTAAAGCATGGGAGAACGGTGAAAAATTGAAGATAATTAAAGCTGTGACGGTGATGAGATATGTGATGACGGTGGAAGAAGGTGGTTTCTTCATTAAAGAGAATGGAGATTAACGGTGGTGGTGGGTTGCGGTGATTTGTGCTTCATTTGCAGAGAGAATAGAGAATTGAAGGAGACGAGTTAGATGAAGAAAATGGAAGAAAGTTTGAAGGTGGTAGTTGTGGACTATGGAAAATGGAATGCATAGAACATGTCTAATTTCTATTTCTTTTGTATACTGTTCAAGGCTGTGTTTGGTTCACACTTATAAGACAATCACTTATCATTATTTTGTGATTTCTGATTCTATTGACTTGACTAGGATAAATTTAACTTCTTTTCTAAATCTTTATTCAGTATAAGTTTCAAGTATCTTCATCTTGTAACTACTAGTAAAAAATCATTCTCTTTTATTATGGCATGGATTCTCTATATCCGAATTTTGTGTAATTTATTTTTGATGATAAAAATCTTAAATTTGGTAAATAAAAATATGGTATGTTTGAAGATTTTTGTGAAAAGGGTAAATTGTTTTTTATTTTAAGTTAATATATGTTTTAGTCACTTAATTTAATTTAATATTTTGTTTTAATCTCTTAATAAAAAAATGTTACAAATTAACTCTTTAACTTTATTTTTATTATTTTATTTAATCTCTTCTATCAATTTCTGATAAAATAAAGTTTCTATTTAAATATGACTTAACATTTATACTATAAAATAAAATTTCTATTTAATATAATTTTATTGTGACCTAATTAAATAAGAATAATATCTTTAATAAAATTTCTATCTTTAATAAAATTTCTATCTTAAATAAAATTTCTATTTAAATAAGAATAATATCTTTATAGCACATAATTAAATAAAAACCTAATTTATAATATAAAAATTTAATAACATTTTGAATTTTAAACTTTATTATACATTTTTGTCATCCGAATTTAATGTTTTTTTTTGGTTAAAAATTAATAGAATGAATCAAATAAAATAACCGAAACAAAATTAAAAAATTAACTTATAATGTTTTTTTATTAAAAAACTAAATTAAAATATTAAATTAAATTAAGAAATTTAAAGATTAAATATCTTATGTTTTAACTATAATTTTTAAGTTTTAAATTTTTTAAGATAAAAGTATAAATGAAATAGTGAAGGATTATTTAAAAATGGAATTTTAAAAATATTGGATTGAATCTGTAATTTCAAAAATATCGACGGATCAGCTTGAAAAGTTATAAAATATTTTTTAATTGACAACTTTTAATAATCACAATTAATACATTGTAAAAGGATATATTAAATTATGAAAAATATTATTCTTACATTAATATTTTACACGATGTATTTTGTTCATCGATATAGTGAATAATGAAATATTATTATAATAATTATTTTTATAAGAAAATGTTTTTTGTTTTGTTAGTGCAAGGTGATGAATTTGAGGAAGAAGATGAAAGGGAATAAATGCAATAAAGGCTGACTGCAAAAATGATTGGAGAATTGATTGATATAAATGTAATCCTAGTACACCTATTTATACACAAATAAAGATGCCACATAGGCCCTAATTAAAACTTATCTACAAATAACAAAATACTAAATTACCCTCTAATACCATCCCGTAATTTAGTAATTTATCAGAAGTTAACAACACCAATTTCATCTCTTAAGCGCAGAAATTGGTCTGTTTTTATTGCCTTCGTCAGAACATCTGCCAGCTGCTTCTGAGTGCTACAGTGCAGAACTTCTAACACTCCTTTCTGCACTTGACTTCTGAGAAAGTGATACTTCGTCTCAATGTGCTTGCTTCTGCCATGTAGAACTGGATTCTTTGCAAGATTAATTGCAGACTTGTTGTCAATCATCAGCTTCAGAGGTTCCTCAACTTCAACCTTCAGATCATGCAGCAGATTCAGAAGCCAAACTGCTTGACAGGCGGCTACAGCACCAGCAATGTATTCAGCTTCACATGTTGACAGAGCCACAACAGGCTGTTTCTTGGAACACCAAGAAATTGGACCTCCCAGAAACTTGAATAAATACCCAGAAGTGTTTCTTCTGTCGACTCTGTCTCCACACCAATCAGAATCAGAATAACTCAGAAGTTCTGATTTGATCTTTCCTCCAGAAGGAAATAACACTCCATAATTCAGAGTTCCTTTTATATACCTCAGAATCCTGACAGCAGCTTGGTAATGAGACCACTTTGGTTTGCTCATGTATCTGCTGACCATTCCAACTGCATAACAAATATCAGGTCTGGTATTGCATAAATATCTCAGAGAACCAACCATCTGTTTGAAGGTTGTAGCGTCCACATCCTCTCCATCAGAATCAGAGTCCAACTTCTGATTCGTATCAGCAGGTGTGATAGCAATCTTGCAATTTGCTAGCTCAAATCTCTTCAGAAGCTCTAGTTCATACTTCTTCTGATGCAAAATGATTCCTTTCTCAGAGTATATAAGTTCCATCCCTAGAAAGAAACTCATTTTTCCAAGATCTGTCATCTCAAACGCCTTCATCAGAACTTTCTTGAACTCAGCTGTTTCTTGTTCAGAACTTCCTGTGAGTAATATGTCATCAACATACAAACAGACCAGAATCATATTACCTTCTGAAGTATGCTGAACATAAACACCATATTCCATCTCACACTTCCGAAACCCTTGTTCCTTGAAAAACGAATCAATCTTCAGATTCCAAGCTCTGGGCGCTTGCTTCAGTCCATACAGAGCTTTACTTAACTTGTATACCATCCCTTCCTGATTCTTTTTCACAAATCCAGGAGGTTGTGACACATAAACTTCTTCCTGTAATGGACCGTTCAGAAATGCAGACTTCACATCCAGATGTATCAAAGGCCAATTTCTGTTTGCAGCTAAAGCAATCACCAGTCTGATTGTTTCGTGTCTAGCTACAGGTGCAAACACCTCAAAATAATCTAGTCCAGGTTTCTGAAGAAAACCTCTGGCCACTAGTCTCGCTTTATGTTTGCCAATTGATCCATGTGGCTTTAGCTTCTGCTTGAAAACCCATCTGACGCTGATGGCTTTCTTGCCTTTTGGAAGTTCTGTCAGCTTCCAAGTCTTGTTTCTTTCAATTGCCTCAAGTTCTTCTTTCATGGCATTCAGCCATACTTTCTTCTTGAGTGCTTCTTCAATACCCACTAGTTCAGAATCTACTAGCATGGCACACTGAACGATTTCACCTTCAGAATCTACTTCAGTATCATGCAACATGCTAAAATCTGCAAACTTACTTGGTATTCGTCTGATTCTCTGTGGCCTCTGGTCTTGTTCTGAAGGTTCTCCAGAATTCGGAACAATACTGGCTTCTGAACCTTGTCCAGAACTACTTCCTTCAGAATTACCACCTTCAGAGTTACTTCTGGAAATTTGTTCTCCAGACCCTATGTCTTCAGAGTTTTCCCTTCCAGAAGTAAAATCACCACCAGATTCTGGATCATCATCAGAATCTGGATCAGAATCAGATCCACTATCAGAATCTCCCTGAGATTCTGACTCATCTTCAGAGTCTTCTGACTCTGACTCTGACTCGTCTTCAGAAACTAACCCTGGTGTTGGCACTACACCAGAATCTGATTGAAGCTTGTTCCAATCCCATGTTTCTGACTCTTTCACAACGACGTCTCTGCTGATTTCAACTTTGTTGGTTTCTGGACAATAAAGCTTGTAGGCACCTGTACTGTGGTACCCCACCAGTAACATTGTTTTGCTTCTATCATCCAGTTTTCGTCTTCTAGCCTCTGGAATGTGTTTGTAGCACACAGAACCAAATACTTTCAGATGGCTAACACTCTGCTTGTCTCCAGTCCATTTTTCTAAAGGAATAGTTTCCTTCAGCTTCTTTGTTGGACACCTGTTCAGAACATATGCTGATGTGGCAACAGCTTCTCCCCATAACATGTGAGGTAACTTCTTCTCTTTCAGCATACTTCTGGTCATATCAAGCAAAGTTCTGTTTCTTCTTTCAGCGAGACCGTTGTGCTGAGGAGTATATGGAGCAGTAACCTCATGTTCTATTCCATTCTCCTCACAGAACTTCTGGAACTCTGTAGAGTTATACTCACCTCCACCATCTGTTCTCAGAATCTTCAGCTTCTGACCACTCTGCTTCTCAGCCTTTACCTTGAATTTCTGGAACTCAGTAAACACTTCATGCTTGAACTTGATGAGTGTTACCCATGTCATCCTTGTGAACTCATCCACAAAAGACACGAAATATTTGTTTCCTCCAAGTGAAAGTACTGGAAATGGTCTACACACATCAGAATGTACTACACCCAGAGCATGCTTTGCTCTGGGGGCTACTTCTGACGCAAATGACAATCTTGGTTGCTTGCCTTTCATGCATATCTCACATGACTTCTGAGGCTTCACAATCTTCGAAATGCCATGTACGAGCTTCTTAGAACTTAGATGCCCTAAGCTTCTATAGTTCAAGTGCCCCAACCTCTTGTGCCACAACTTACTGTCTGCTTCAGCGCCTTCTGCACTGAGACACTCCGCTTCAGAGGTTTCTACATTCACTTTGAATGTTCTGTTGCTTCCCTGCTCAGACTTCATAATCATCTTCTGATTAGAATCATACAACGTCAAGAGGTTGTCCTTCATAACCACTGAGAAACCTTTCTCAACAAGCTGACCCACACTCATCAGATTGCTTTTAATTCTAGGAACGTACCAGACATCTTTGATCAGAATGTTTCTTCCATTCTTCACTCTGACTCTGACATTTCCCATACCTTCTGCATTAAGGTACTTATCATCAGCACATCTGATCTTTGTTCTCCTTCTGGAGTCAAAGTCTGTCAGCCATTGTTTGTTCCCAGTCAAGTGATTTGAACAGCCAGTGTCCATATACCACCAATCTCCTGAACAGTTTCCATCAGAATCAGAAGCCATCAGTAGCACAGGTTCATCATCAGAATCTTCTCTGGCTATATTTGCTTCTTCTGATTTTCTTCCTTTGTTTCTACAGTCTCTGGCAAAATGCCCAAACTGTTTACAGCAGTAACATTGAACCTTCTTC